AAAGATTTTATTTATTTATTCATAAGAGACAGAGAGAGAGGCAGAGGGAGAAGCAGGCTCCCCGCTGAGCAGGGAGCCTGATGCAGGACTCGATTCCAGGACCCTGGGATCATGACTTGGGCCGAAGGTAGACGCTTAACCATCTGAGCCACCCAGGCACCCAGACCATGCAACTCTTCATCTCAGGGTCGTGAGTTCAAGCCCCACATTGGGTGTAGAGATTACTTTAAAAAAGAAATTAAAAAAAAAATATTTCCCGGGCGCCTGGGTGGCTCAGTTGTTAGGCAACTGCCTTTGGCTCAGGTCGTGGTCCCAGGGTCCTGGGATTGAGTCCCATTTCGGGCTCTCTGCTCTGCGGGAAGCCTGCTTGTCCCTCTCCCACTCCCCCTTGCTTGTGTTCCCTCTCTCGCTGTGTCTCTCTCTGTCAAATAAATAAATAAAATCTTTAAAAAAATAAAATAAAAATATTTCCCTAACTCCAGATCATAAAAATAATTTATTAAAGATTATTTTTCAACATTCGTGTTTAAATGTACATTTCTCTTGGAATTGATTTTTGTGAATGGTATATGATAGTTTTAAGATTTGGGGCATCTGGGTGGCTTAGTTGGTTAAGCAGTTGCCTTCGGCTTGGGTCATGATCCAAGGGTCCCCCGCATCAGGCTCCCTGCTCAGCGGAGAGCCTGCTTCTCCCTCTCCCTTTGCCTGCAGCTCTGCCTGCTTGTGCTCTCTCTCTATCAAATAAATAAATAAAATCTTTTAAAAATTTTTTTAAAAAAAGATAGTTTTAAGATTTGCTTTTTGGGGCACCTGGGTGGCTCAGTTGCTTAAGTGTCCAACTCTTGATTTTGGCTCAGGTCATGATCTCAGGGTTGTGAGACTGAGCCCCATGTCGGGCTCCACACTGGGCATGCAGCCTGCTTAGGATTCTCTCTCTCTCTCCCTCTCCTTCTCTGCTCCTTCCCCACCCCCACCACCCCACTTCCACTGTCTCTCAAAATAAATGAATGAATAAATAAATAAATAAATAAATAAATAAATAAATAAAAAAGATTTGCCTTTCTATATGGCTATCCAATTAACCTAGCACCATTACTTTTTTTTTTTTTTAAAGATTTTATTTATTTATTTGAGAGAGAGAGTCAGAGAGCATGAGAGGGAGGAGGGTCAGAGGGAGAAGCAGACTCCCTGCGGAGCAGGGAGCCCGATGCGGGACTCGATCCAGGGACTCCAGGATCATGACCTGAGCCAAAGGCAGTCGCTTAACCAACTGAGCCACCCAGGCGCCCCATAGCACCATTACTTTTTAAAATACATTTTCATCAGTAATTTACAGTACTTTTGTCATAGCTCACATGTCCCATATGTGTTGGTCTGTTTTGGGGCTGTGATCTTTTCCATTGTTCTATTTTCTAGTCTTGTTTCAAGATCACTGCCTTAACTTTTATAGTTTTTTATTAAGTTTTTGAATTAGAATTGTCTCCCTTATTTAGTTCTTTAACAATGTCTTGGCTCTTCGTGGCCCTTTACATCTCAAATGCATTTTATTTTTTTTTAAAGATTTTACTTATTTATTTATTTGAGAGAGAGAGAATGAGAGAGAGCAGGCACATGAGAGGGGGGAGGGTCAGAGGGAGAAGCAGACTCCCTGCCAAGCAGGGAGCCCCATGCGGGACACGATCCAGGGACTCCAGGATCATGACCTGAGCCGAAGGCAGTCGCTTAACCAACTGAGCCACCCAGGCGCCCTCAAATGCATTTTAGAATTAGATTTTCAATTTCCATTTTCAAAACTGTGCTGGAATTTTTATTAGTGTTAATTTCTTTTTATATTTTTTAAAGTTTTTATTTAAGTAATCTCTACACCCAACGTGGGGTAGGAACTCATGACCCTGAGATCAAGAGTCGCATGCTCTTCCAGCTGAGCCAGCCAGATGCCCCATATTTAGTGTTAATTTTTAATTTTCTTTATTTTCACAATGGTTCTTTAATCTTTCTCTGATCTTTATTATTATGGTGAGGTTTTGTAGGTGATGATAGCAGTATTGCTAACAGAAATCAGGAGCAGTATTTCATATAATCTTTTAAATGTTTAACATCTCCTGCAAGAAAAAAGACCTTTTAGTTAATGTTTATAACTGGTCATTAAAACACATCTGTTAGCATAACCAGTCAAGACTGGTGGGTCATTTTGGCATTTGATGGAAATCTCCAAGTCCTGGGAGGGACAGATGGAGTGCTTGACTATTTCTGCAGAAGCAAACCATGTCAGGTTTTTCAAAACTCCCAGGGATCTATAGATACCTTCTCAGTGAGCCTAAATTTATCAAAAATATTTTTAAATGCTTTATTTTCGGGGATAATCTTTTTAAAAAATGAGATAAGCTTATTCTGCAGTTCCCCTTGCTTATTTTTGCTTTTCTTGCCTGTGCTTTTCGTGTCAGATCCAAAAAGTTTATTGCCAAGACCAATCAATGTCAAGGAGCTTCCTCCCTGTGTCTTCTTCTAGGAATTTTATAGTTTCATGTCTTACACTGAAGTCTTAAATCAGTCTCAAGTTAATTTTTTTATGGCATAAGATAAGGGTTCAGTTTCCTTCTTTTGCATGTGGATACCTATTTTTTAATAGTCTACCAAAGAGACTATCCTTTCCTTATTGTGTATTCTTGGTGCCCTTGTCAAAGGTTAGTTGACCATATATACATGGGTTATGTCTTGGCTCTCCATTAGGTTCAAGATAAGTGTATTCTGTGCCTTCTACATGACACTTATTTTTATAA